ATTATGTCAGCCCCCCCCCCCCCTCCTCATCGAAGGTGTTGGAGTTTCGATTCCCGGGACACCCCGCCCCCCCCCTGGGAATGCTCTTCAAGATGTGCACCTCCATCGAGAGCTGGCTCTTGGCGGACCCTAAGAACGTGGCTGCGGTGCACTGCCTCACGGGCCGCGGGCGGACCAGCACCGTCCTGGCGTGCTACTTGGCTTGGGTCGGTGAGGACGGAAGAGGGGGCGTACTCTAGTGTGTTGCATGCCTTGGTTGTTAGACAATTGACCGAACACCCTCGAGAGGACGGAGCATTGTCCCGCGGAGACCGATCACCGATGGCCACTCGTTCCTTAAGAGGCGGGGGTAGAGAGTCATACACACGCAGAGTTGATCAATGCTTGGAAGTAGTGCTGCTGTACACGGTGATGTTTTCTCTCGAACGTTTTTCGCTTTTGGTGCGAGGATGGTGTGTTTGTGATTTGTCCTTGGCGTCTTTCTTCATGCCCTGTTCCACATTTTGTGTGCATACGCATTTGTTTTGCTTGTTGTTGCTCGGCCGGCCACGGGTGTTTGCGAAAGTTGTGTTGGAAGTCGTCCCAGGAGCGCTGATCTTGGCGAGAATCTGCTGGACTTATTTGAGCCAGTCTAAGCCTGAACACCCCAACCTACATTCATATCGCTGCACCATGCTCCTGTTGCCTCGCTGTTTTTGGCGAGAACCTGTTTTCAGTCAAGACGTTGCCGCACCGCTGTCCTTGCAGGCGAGGTTTCCGCACCGTCGGAGGCGTTGGAGCACGTGGCCTCTTGCAAGGGCGTGGCGATGGAACGGCTGACGATCCCCAGCCAGCGCCGGTACCTTTCTTACTTCTCCAGCGTCATGGAGGGGGTCAGGTACGCAGAAGTGTGAGCGTAGCTCTGTCGATGCGTTTGTTGCTCACGCGTTATGTAGCAGAATGTTTCACACTCCCGGCGGGAGGATGTCGTCGGGGCGTGTTTGGGTGCGTCGGTGCAGCGAGCGTTAGTCACATCCACGGACCCCCCACGGCTCTGCCGAATGCGGCAATGACTGCCACTTGTTGCCCACGTGTCGGCGGCTCCATCGCTCGTCAGTATTTGGAGGGCGTAACTGCCCCGCGGAATGGTCGTTTACAAAATGCGAATGTAGTATGCGAAGCGTGCCTTCTTCGAGCGTGCAATGCCCCGCCTTTTTTTTTTTTGAGGATCAATTGTTAAAAGTGCGAATGTAGTACTTCTGCGAAACGTGTGCCTTCTTCGAGCGCATAATGCCCCGTCTGTTAATTCCTTAGTGATCCGTTCATACATGCAAATACAAAATGCGAAAACGTACTGTCTTTTTCGTATGCTGTTCCAGGCCGCGCTCCGAGCCGTTGCTCCTGCGGCGCGTGATCATGAACACCATCCCCACTTTCGGGACGAAAAATGGAGGCGTTATCGGGCCGGGAAAGGGGGCGGCGGCGAAGGCGGAGGAGGAGGCGGTGGCGGCGGGCGGGGAGGGGGAGGACGGGGCGCTTGGATGCTGCCCGTACATCCAGGTGTTCAAGGGCGGGTCGCTCATCTTCACGGCCACGTACCGGTGAGGAAGCTTGGCACTCCTGGAAAGCGGCAGAGATGGGGATTCACATGCGGACAGCCAGACGAGCAGACAGAGACAGACGGGCAGGCGGATAGAGACAGACAGACAGACAGATAGACGGACGGGCAGAGATAAGACAGGCAAAGACTGACAGATAGGGAACAAAGATATCCAGAAACAGACAACAAGGGGTGTTTGTGTTCCCGCCCCCCACCCCGGGATCTGTCAGCGCCGCGTCTGGTAGCCTCCGCAGGTTTTTTTCAATTAGGCAATCATGTTGGATACGTTAAGGTATGGAATCGGTGGAAGTTCGAGGGTAATGGTTAGGGCCTACCTATCCCCGCCTCTCAATTCATAGTTATAAATTAATTGCTTCGCATACTTTTAGGATTTCCGCCTCAACGCCAAGTATGTGAGTGTGCCATCTCTTACGCTGTACTGCCGCGGCTTGTTTAAACGCTGTCAGCCCCTCCGAGGGCCTGGCGAATACCAGCAGCGGGGCCCCCGGCACGGGGGGGGACGGGGAAGACGCGTCGGCGGGGGAGGGGGAACGGCTCCCGTGGGCGTACACGAGCGACGACAGCATATCGTTTCCGGTGGACTGTGTGTTGCAAGGAGATCTGCTGGTGAGCGGTCCCGATAGTCCCGATAGTCCCGATACCTGGCGGTGCAGTGACAGACAAGAAGAATTCCATCATATCGGGACCCGCGCTATTGGGGAAGCTCCCGGAATACAATTGTACTTTATGAGAGTAGCGGGTTGTGTCGAGGAGTTTTTCCCGCCATGTACATTGCGGGAACCGCGCTATTCGGGACCGCGGTGCGATGTATCGGGACCACCACTGGTATGCTGAGACCGACACCAGACCGCCAGGGCAATACGACACGGCGATCGTTTTTGGCGGCACCCGGTACACACACCGGCAGAGGCGTTCGTTGCCCGAAGCGTTTTTTTTTCGTTCTCCCGAATCCGTCGCTTGCGGGTGGACTGTTAATGTGGTTCTTCCCCCAAGCCAACCATGGCTGCTTTTGGTTGTTTGGTTGGTGTCATCTACTTAAAAGTTGTGATATCTCTGCCGATGTACTTTCTGCGCGCGCGCGAGGGGGGGGGGTTACCGCCTCTTTTTTGGGGTTATTTGGCCTCGCTGTGCCCCCCCCCCCCCCCCCCCCCCCCCCCCCCCCCCCCCCCCCCCCCCCCCCCCCCCCCCCCCCC